TTTTTTTTATAGTGTGTTTGAACCTGCAGATAAGGCCACCATCCTATTTCAATTCCCTGAAATTCTAATTGGTTCCATGTTTTAATTCCCCTTTTTCATTTAGTAGGTCCCTATATTTTATCATTTTGGTGCAATCTATAGCATTGGGATATATTAGTGCTTCCATTGTCGATAACCATAATGGCACCTTCACATAATGATTCTTTTTTAGTTCTTCTGATATAGCTAACAAAGTATCTCTCACCCAATGTCTTTGGAAGTAGGTATGACATTTACTCTTCCCATCCCAAAGAAACGCATGCCAGCCAAGTTGTAAATCAAAATCCTCTATTGTTAGTTTCCTTCTATTTGTCAAATTAATCCAATCTTTAATCCATGTGGCTATTGCCGCCTGATAATATAGTTCAAAGTCTTGGAGGCCCAAACCTCCCTTGCTTCTACTGTCTTGTAGTAATCCTAACGGGAAATTACCTCAACCGATACATATAAGAAAAAGAAATAATAGGACAGGGACGGTAGGCATGTTGGTGCGTTTATGCATGCCCCCTACAGACCTCTTAGGAAAGGGGTGAGGTCAATAGTAGACAGGCTAAGGTTAAAGTTTTTGGGGTTTGGGGAAGAAACCAGAGAGTCAGGTAGAGTATTCCAGACATTGACCACTCTGTTGCTGAAGTTGTATTTCCTGCAATCAAGTTTGTTGCGATTAACCTTGAGTTTGTATCTATTGTTGCTCTTGTATTGTTATGGTTGAAGCTGAAGTATTCCTTGACAGGTAGGAAATTGCAATGTATAATTTTATATACTATACTTAGATCAGACCGAAGACGGCATAGTTCTAGGTTTTCTAGGTCTAGAATTTCGAGTCTGGTGGCATAAGGTATTCTGCAATGAGTAAAGGAGTGGACAACTCTTGTGAAATATTTCTGGACTTTCTCAACTGTGTTAATATCAGATACGTAATGTGGGTTCCAGACTGATGAGCTGTATTCGAGTATTGGTCTAGCAAATGTTTTGTATTTCTTCTGGAACTTCTGGAACTATGATCTTGCTGACATTGTAGTAACCTTTTCCTCCTCCTTTGATTCAGTAATATTTTGTTGGCAGAACACAAAGAAGCGAATGATATTTATCCTTTCTACTGTTTGTAGTCTGGCATCGAGGAAACAGCTGAAGACTGCAGAAAGCTGGGAGTCGAAGCATATCCTTATGTGGTGGACTGCAGTTTGAAAGAGGAAATCTACAGTGCGGCTGAGAAAGTGAGAATTCTGTACAGTAAATGTGTGTCCTCTCTCCACAGGATCGGTCCTTGGTGCCCAAAAGGTTAGGGGCCACTGCCATAAAGTATCTTAGAAAAAAAAAAGGCAGGTTTGCAAGGCAGCACTTGGTAGCATCTGTACATCCATTTGTCTATGGAGATCGTCAGTCATCCAGGTCATGGTTGTCCCAAAGGTGCTTTTTCAAAAGGCAATTGGACTTTGGTTTCCTTTGAAGATGTTTCATTCTCCTCCAAGAAGCTTCTTCAGTTCCCTTTCTGGATGAGAAGTGACATGTCTTCAAGGAAAATCAAAGTCCGGTTGCCTTTTGAAAAAGCACTTTTGGGACAACCATGACCTGGATGACTGACGATCTCCATAGACAAATAGATGTACAGATGCTACCAAGTGCTGCCTTGCAAAAATGACCCTTTGTCTCAAAGAAGAACAAAGAGAAATTGGGAGCTTGAAGGCCCTTAATCCTTTTGTGAGGCTGTTCTTAAAATTTCAAGTAAGCCTAACAATCTTCGAAAGTTGGCAAAAGCAGGAATATTGGTATTACAAAAAACATAAGAAACATTTTTATTTATAAATAGACTTATCAATGTAGTAGTCCTTGAGAGCTACGATGATTATGACCATTCCAAGTTGTGGCGCTGAAGAAATTGGGGTCACAGCCGGTTCTTGGAGTTCCTGATCTCCCAGCAATCCCATGATCGTGGGCCACTTGCCCTTACAGCACTCCGTGATCACGTGATCGCCATTCCCAACCTTCCCTGCCAGCTTCCCTAGAAAGTCAGTGGGGAAGCCCTCAGGCAAGGTCACTATTTGCTGGGGTGAGTCTCTCTTACCCATGCACCTTTCTCCAGGCCCTCTGCACTTTCACAATGCTGGCCATGTGCCCTCCCTTCACACACCCGCCCCAGCCCATGCTGTGCCTTTTGCACACCCTCCGCAACTCTTGCCCCGTACCCATGTGCACCTGTTCATTTCCTCCACCACCCTGGAAGCAGCCTCTTAATTGTTTGCAGGCCTAGGACTTGCGACTGCCTGCTGTCTTCCCAACTGACTGTGGGAAGCTGGCAGGAAGTAAGTGCTCTAACTGAACAGCTACAGGATTCAGTTCACGAAGGTAACCAGGATTGCAGAGATTGCCATCGTTGAGCAGTGTGGTTGCATGCATAGCTTTAGCAGGAGTGTCAAACTCAAGGCCTGAATCCGGCCTATGGGGTACTTAGATCTGGTCTGTGGGGCTGTCCTGGAAACAGTGAAGGACTGGCCTGCAGTGCCTCTGCCAGCAAAAACAGAGTTCAGGAGGACCCTCCTGCACTCCGTTTTCATTGACAGAGGGTTGTAAGAGGCCGACACAGCTGAAAATGGAGTTAGGGACGCTGTTTTCACTGGCAGAGCGTTCGGGTGCAACATGGCAACAGGTTCATACCTATGACAGTTGCTGTCTCCCAAGGTCATGCGAATCGCCTTTTGAGAAGCAAAATCAATGGGGAAGCCTGATTTACTTAACAACTGTGCCACTAACTCATCAACTGCAGTGATTCACTTAACAACTATGGTGAGAAAGCTCATAAAATGGGGCAAAATTCACTTAATCAACATTTCAGTTAACAACAGAAATTTGGGGCTCCATTGTGGTCATAAGTTGAGGACCACCTGTATATATGTATCTATTTAAGCTCATCTCACCTAGAAATGCTCCTGTTTGCTTTTCACGTCATATTTTTGTCAGTGAGATCCAGTGAATGCTTGCTTGTTCATTTGAAGAATACCTTAGATCAACTCTGACAAGGAGTCCATACAATTTTAAAACAAAAAGTGCTTTGTTTTTACAATAATAGTGTCATGCCCCTGTCGGAGTCTGAATCCAGGAGGAAGACGAACAGCTGGGAGTGTGGCTCCATTGGCTGTGGAAGAAACTGGGGAAGGGCAAAGTCTGGCTGGGCAGAGCAGGGAAGAGGTAGAACAAGGCAGAGGGAGTTCAGATGAAAGCCCACCCCCTCTTCACCCTAGGGCCGTGATGGCGAACCTATGGCACGCGTGCCACAAGTGGTGCGCATGCAGTTTTTGGCACAGGAGCCCAAAAAGATTCACCACTACTGTCCTAGGACATGCAGGGAGGAACGGAGAAGAGAGCAACATTCTCTTATGGGACAGGAAAGGGCCCTGATTCCCTTCATTAGCCACACCTGGGAATGAGAGTTTAAAAGAAATGCATGTTGAGTGTGGCAGCTGCTGGGAGCAAACGTGATTTTATCTTGTGTTCGGTTGCAACTTCCAGTTGCAAGGCTTCGGCGGCGGCAGGAATCCGCTTTTCTGCGGGTCCCTGCTGCGCTCGCCGCTGAGGTACCCCCGATCCAACTGGATTTGGGGACTTATAGTTAGTTTTTGTTGACCACATTTTGGACTTGATTCTCTGCAGCCAAAGGCTGTTCCTGGGAGAGTTTTTCTCCAGCCAGAAGGTAACCAGGACTTTGGGGGCAAAATTGGAGCTAATAAAGAGGCTCCTATTGATTAACTGACTGTTGCCTTTGTGCCACACCCTAGGTCATCACAAATAATTTCTTCATATGATCATTGTACGTATGGGTTGATTATGTCACTTGCCCTCTAAATCAGCCTGACATGGCTATCCAGTTGTGTCAAGGCTTCAGCTCCCCAAATTCTAGTGCCAGCATACTGAATTACAACACATCTGTAGAATGCCAAGTCTGATCTTGTAAAGGTTGCATTTTTTTGTCTTTTAAAATATTCAGTCTTTACTGTGCCTTTCAGTCTGTGCAAGATCTATATGGCAGCACAACAACAAAAGAGAAGAAAATCAAATTTAACCCGAGCAAAGTTTAATAATTTCTGTTTCTTAACTTTAAAGGTAAAAAAAGATGTTGGAGATGTTACTATTTTAGTGAATAATGCCGGTGTGGCAGCAACAGGGGATCTACTTTCCATCCAGGACAAGCAAATACAAAAAATATATGATGTCAACATTCTAGCTCATTTCTGGGTAAGTATCGCTGAGAACTTAAATTTTAAGTATTTAGTTATTATTAGGAACACAGGGCTGAAGCTTAATTGAGCTTACAGTACCTTAAAGCGTGGTCCTAACTAAAATATGTTGGGGAAGGTTAAAATGAGGCTCATCTGCCAGTTCACTTACAGCAGTACTATAATACCAGAAAATACCGGGGAGCTATGGCACACCAGAAAACTGGGCCACGCAAACAAGTGAAGACACATCCATGGGATGCAAGAAGAATGCAAAACCACACCCCCTCCAGTCTATGGAAAAATCTCTCTCCAAGGAGCCGGTCCCTGGTGCCCAAAAGATTGGGGGACCCTCCTATGATATCTCTTGAAAGCCCGTTCATCAATCTGTATTGCAACACTTTAGTCAAAGGGTTGTATCCAATCTCGTGTTTTTTTAAAAAAATTTTTATTGGTTTTTAAGACGAACATAGACAAACAAAACATAAAAACATCAAGCCATCTTCCATATATATACATACAGTGTGCCGGTTGGTTTACAAATTGTTTTGTGCTTCCATTTCGTAGTCTTCCATTACAATTACATTGTATATATTCTCATATTTTCAATCAAGTATTAAATACATTAATATCATTGTTAATCAATCATTTGACTATAGTTTTATTCATTCATGTTTTACGAATAATCATATTTTACTTAAATTGTTTTGTGACAGTTCATATTATCATCTCAAATCTATCCTATAATCATTTTGTAGATATAATAAGAAAAGAATACATCTTTATATATTTATTATTTTCTAAGAATCTACATATTTCATTACCATGTTTTATTTTCTAACCATTGATAGAATAGATCCCAGATTTTATAAAATTGTTTATCCTCTTGTTCTCTGATTTCAAATGTCAATCTACTCATTTCAGCACATTCCAATATTTTCTTAATTATTTCCTCCTGTGATGGTATTTTCTAATTTTTCCAATTTTTAGCAAATACAATCCTAGCCGCTGTTAATACATTTACAATCAGGTATTTCAATTCTTTACTATATATTTTAGGTAAAATTCCCAATAAAAATATCTCTGGTTTCAAATCTATATGCTTTTTTGTCATTTTTTCCAACCACTTGTGGATTTTAGTCCAATATTTTTTAGCATCCGCACAAGTCCACCACATATGGTAATATGAGCCAGGTGTCTGATGACATTTCCAACATTTTTCTGATTTGTTCTTGAACATTTTTGCTATTCTTTTTTTTTTGGAAACAAATTTTATTAATTTTAAAGACAAACAAAGCATCATTAGACATTAAAAACATTAAACCTCTTTCCATTACAAATTCTTACAAGGCAGATAAAACACTGTTTTATACAATATACTTCTAATATATCCCATTTCCACTTAAATCAGATTTCTCATTATTTCTCTTTACTCTTATTCAATTACATTTCTTCTATATTTATCCATTTTATACTCATCATATTCATATTTCCCTCTGCCTTGTTTACAATTATTCTTCTCGCTTTCTCCCAAGGTTTTATTAAATCTCAATCAAACATACACACACAAAACACAAAAACATAAAACTTCTTTTTAAAAAGTAGCTTGGCCCCGGATTACCTCTCTTTGTATGGACTTCAATTAAATTCATGTTCAACTTATATGCCATTACCTATCTTATTTACCCTTCTATATCTTCATTATAACTTCTCCCCGCTTTCCACTCTTCTTAATTCTATTTTATTTATTTCATCTTAATTTAAATCATTATATTTGTATCTTTTGTCCATTCTTTTCCAATTATCCATTTATCTCATTCATATTAGAAAAAAAAGATTTCTCCTGAAATCACTAATCGAAGTATGATGCCTTTCCATCGCTCCCCTAAATTAACATTTAAGGTAACACCTAGTTCCCTATCTAATTCTGCTTAGTACATTCTACTTACTAAAATAGTAAATCCATAAAGTAATTAAATATATAATTAAACATTAAATCTCATAACATTCCAATTATCTATTGCAAAAACAAATACCATAATAATAAGTTCATACAAACACCCACACAATAGTCAATTAAACTCTATACTTAAACTAAATATTTTAAACATTCCTTTTAATATTTTATTAAATCTTAAAATCTATCATTATTAAACCTTTAATGTTTTAATCTTTACTTAAGTCTTATAAAATTCTAATTTTCTATTTCTAATACAAATACTACAATACTATCTTATGTACCTTGCAGAAACATTTTGAAACAAAGTTATGCATTACCCAGTATCCCTAAAAAAAAAATTCTTTTTCACATCTTGTTTTATACCTTTGTGGCTTTTTTCCCCCTTCTTCCTTCCTATCTTATCCCATCTGGTCTTTTTACCCCCCTTCGCTTCCCCTCTCTGTTGTATTTCTCTTTTCTTTTGCTTTCTAACATTGTATTGATTTTGCATCTTATTTTTCTCTTTCTTGGATGTTTTTTTAAGTCTTATGTCCTTTTTCCTACCTCTCTTCTTCCTTCCTTTCTTAATCAACTTTGTAGACTCGTTAAAGATGGCTTCTTCTTCTTCTTCTTCTTCTTCTTCTTCTTCTTCTTCTTCTTCTTCATCCTCCATTAATTGTTGTGTTTGTTGATAAGTGGCAAGCACCATTTCTAAAAAGCGAAAAATTTCTCTCACACCGTCTTTACCTTCTTTTTTTATTTTACCATATTCCTCTCTCAGTTCATCAACAGATAAAGCCATTATAAACCTTTTCTTCTTCTTTTTTCTCTTCTTCTTCTTCTTAAAACAACCAAGATAATTCAAAGCTTGAAACAATTCCCCAAAATCCCAAAGTCATCAAACAACCCAAACAGAGCACAAAGTTCTTCACACTTTTTCTTCCTGGGGTAACATCAATTGGCAAGGAAAAAAAAAACACCAATCTGTATTTTAAAGTCTTATTACAATTAACTTCCAATCTCAAATTCTTCCAGGCATCTCCTCCAACAAAATCTTAATAAAAATTTTCCTTTTGTCCTCTCCCTTCCCACTTATAACAGAAAGCTTTAAATTTTTACCTTCTGTAAAATAGCAGGATTTTCAATATCCATTTGTTAAATCCTTGTGGAAGGAGAGTAAACTTTCTCTTTAAACACTTTCACTCGCCGCTTGTAAATCTCTTCTGGAAACAAAGTATCTTTCAAAAAATCAGGATTTTCAGGATATTACTTGTACCTTATAGTCCCAGTTCAGCCAAAAACCTTTCGCTTCAGAACTTTCTCCTTCTTCCTCCAGCACAATCTTGTCCAGCTGTCAGCTTCTTTGTGGCGGCCATTGCTGACCGCCGCTCCACCGCCTTGAGAAAAGAGGGTTAAGCCGGGTGGGGAAGGGGTCTGCAAAAACCCCAACCCCCTGTCCGGATCCCTCCTATCTTCGGCTGCCTCTTCGTGGCAGCCTTAGCCTCCAGATCCGTGGATCGGAGGCACCAAAGCGGCTAGCGCGGCAGGGATTGCGCAGGATCGCAAATCCCTGCCGCTAGCGAAGCCGACAAACCGGAAGTTCCCAACATTCTTGCTATTCTTGTCGGGGGGAAATGCCACCTATAAAACATCTTATACAAATTTTCTTTATATGCTGTTGACATTGTCATTTTATAATTTTGAAACCACAATTTTTGCCATTTCTCTAGATCAATCCCATATCCAAAATTCTTCCCCCAAGCAATCATTGTTTCTTTAACTTGTTCTTCTTCTAGTTTAATTTCTAATAAATATACATACAATTTTTTAATCACCTTTTCATCAGTACCTGTCAAAATCTTTTCTAGATCAGTCAGTTTATCATAAAAATCTTCTGTTTTAGAGTCTTTATCATACCTTGAATGTATTTGTGCATATGAGAACCAATTCATCTTTATACCTTGTTCCTCTAATTTTTGTATAGATTTAAGTTCACCCTTTTTATTCAATATTTCACCATATCTAACTGTTTGTTCCTTTTTATGTATTATAGGATAAGAAAATGCTTCAATAGTCGATAGCCAGACTGGAATTTTCAAATAACATTGCCTTTTAGTCTTCTCCCAATTTAACCACAGAGACTCCCATATATAATGTCTTCTAAAATACCCCTGTGTTTTAGTTCCTTTATACCATAGAAAAGCATGCCACCCCAACAACAGATCATGTCCTTCTAATGTCAACAATCTAGTGTTTCTTAATGTTATCCATTCCTTAACCCATATCAAATTTGTAGCTTGGTAATACAACTCCCAATTAGGCAAACCAAATCCTCCTCTTATTCTAGTATCTTGCAAAAGCTTTAGCTTTATTCTCGCTTTCTTTCCTTGCCATATATATTTCAACACAATTTTATTTAAATCTTCAAAGTAATCTTTTCCAAGCCTAATTGGAATTGTTTGGAACAAATATAAAATTCTGGGTAGTATATTCATCTTGATTGTTGATATTCTCCCTATTAATGACAGTTGTAAATTTTCCCATTTCGCCAAATCTAACACTGTCTGCTGCTTAAGTTTGATATAATTATTCTCTTTTAGTGTACTACATCTTGCTGTCAAATGTATCCCCAAGTACTTAATCTTATTCGTTACCTGAATTTTCAATAGATCTGCCAGTTCTTCCTTTTGTCTTGATAGCATATTCTTTGTCAAGATCTTTGTCTTATCTTTGTTTATTTTCAAACCAGCCACTTTTTCATATGCCTCTATCTTTTCTATCAATTTTAATGCTGTTTCTAGTGGGTCTTCTAAAATGAAAACCAGATCATCTGCGAATGCTTGCAACTTAAATTCTTCCTGTTTAATTTTCATCCCTTTTATATCCTTTTCTTCTCTAATATTTCTGTTTAGCACTTCCAAGGTTAACACAAACAATAGAGGTGATAGTGGGCACCCTTGTCTTGTTCCTTTTCTTATATCAGTAGAGTCTGTCAGTTCTCCCTCTATCATTACCTTTGCCGTTTGCTTATGATATATAACTTCTATTGCTTGAATAATTTTTTTAGCAAAGCCCATCTG